CTCGGACAGGCCCTTGATATAGTTTGTCAACGCAGTGGTAGTCGGTGCTGGGACGAGACAGCCTAGCGCATTCGGGTCTTCGGTGTTAAGTGCACGGTTGCGCCATAGCACATTGCACATGTCCATGACATACCCGTTGAACCGACCAACGAGATCTGTTCCATAAGCCGGGGAGTTTTGTGCTTGGAGAACTTGTGAGCTCAGAGAGGCCTCGAATGCAGATTTGTAGACGGCCAATATGGAGTTGAGGGTTGAGAGCACGGCGATGCTAGGTGTGAAGGCGAGTGTGTATACGGTTTGCGCGTACGGAAGTGTGATGCGGAATCGGGCGTCTTGTGGTGCGTGAGAAAAGAGTTCTGAAAGGGTTTTGTAGAAGTCGAGCACAGAGACTGTAGCTGGCTTGGACTCTTTATCCTCATCCTCCACCGAGAACTCCAGAATCGAAGAGGCTAGGAGCTCGGCGTGTACGATGATCTGACTGAGATACACCGATTCCTCTGTTTTGTCTGACTGTGATCGGAGTTTCACACCCCATTGGTTGATTAACGCTGAATAGAAACCCAACAACGCTGTTCTGGAACGAAGACTCTCGTCCAACACAGCTGACTCCAATGGTGACCATAATTCACTTCGAAGCGACGCGAAAGATTCAATGGGAATGTACTGGAGAAGCCGGAAGACGTGGTCACGATTATCCTTGCCATTCCATGTTTTCAGATAAGACTTCAAAAATGAACGTATCGAGGATGGGAGGTCCTAATATTTGGTTAGTGTCTGAATTGACAATGATCTGTCTGAAAACCATACCTTGGTATAGGATGCATATCCCACAACAAAACCCAATACATATGATAACGTCTCAGGTTCATCATCCTCATCCTCACGTAGCAATTCCAACTTATCCTCCAGGAAACTTCTCAGCCACTCATTTAGACGATGATTTGCAAGTTCGGATTGGACCAGGTGAAGATATTTCTGAGCCATTGCATCCCCCAGAGTTGAGATAATCTGATTTGGTAATTCGATCTTGTCAAGCTTGTCGACAAAATGGCCAATATCACGAAGCTCCTCCAGCGATGTGTGCTTATGAGATACCCATGAAGTTTGTAGAGTCGGAATGACCACTTCAATCCTACTTCTTTTCACAGTCCCTCGATGAACAACTTGGAAACTCGATCCCTGGCCGGCCTGCACTCTTTCCATATTCTGATCTTGCAGCACCTTCACATGGCTTGACCACTCCGGGTCTGGGTGTTTGAAGAAGAGGGCATTCCTTCTCGATCCTCCAAAATCACCGAGAATGATCTCGGGGTAGTAATTCTTGAAAACCCTCAGGAGGCTGATAAGCTCTTTATCTTCACCACCAGCAGTCTGTATCAATTCCATCAAGGCTTGAATGCGGAATGGCTTGACGTGCTTTCGTCTTGTGATAAGTGAGAGAAGGTGACACAGCGGTTTCCGCAAACTAATCATGTCCAAATAATTGAAAAGGACAGCATAAAGTTTGGCGAGATGCATCCTATCCTCGAAAAGATCATACGCAAGAATCAGCCAGCGCAATAGCAAAGCCTGTGTGGCGGGGCTCGGTTTGTTCTTGCTGGGCCCAAGACAGCAGACCACTTGAGTGACATTCTTGGACGCGATCCTCTCCTGGGGGTACAGGTTTTTGATCAGCGTTGTAGCAGTGCCCTGGTCTAGGTTATTCTTCGTGGTCAGAATCTTCAGGAGACGGGCCAGCACGGGTTGCGGAATGCCGCTCTCATACGCGCTTGAAGCGATTGTTTTGGCCAGTAGACTGGCATCTGTGTATCTCTGCTTAGGGGGCACAAATGCAACTACCAGATTGCATTAGTAACATGTTTTGCCGTTTCAAGAGGCTTTTTGGCCATACCAGCTTCCAAGTGCTCGACCGCATCAAGTAGGCCGTTTGGCCGGTTGCTTCCTGGAGAATTGTTAGCGTGATTCAACTGAAAGGATAAAAACAGAACTGACCTGTGTCGACATCCATCTAGACGAAATCTATTACAAAATTGCCACAATTGGTGTGTCGTCGAGAATGACAGAATGTACGGGATGGTGGTATTGGCGCGTAGTTGCGCGATGCTTTCGTCCTCAATTTGGCGCGTCGAAAAAACAACAATCCGTTTGGATGTGTGCAATTTCTGGCAATTGTTTTGAAACTAATAGAATCAAAGCAATGAATGTTTTAGATACAGATCCAACGGCAGTTGCATAGAAGAACAAGCGGGCGCGGAGATGCGAAAATTGCCTTAAGCCTAATCGGGTAATTATCAACAACGGCTTCTACCTTCGTCTTATTATCTGATCATATCATAACTGTTAGTTACTTTTCTCTTGTACTTCTGTGATACTGGATAAGTGAAGGTCGGAACTCTATAGTGATTTTCTAGAGGAATCCTCAATTAAAAGGATCGGAATTAAACATTGCTTGCTACAACATTGTAATAATTATGATCCAATGCTCACCAGCATCATGCCAAAAGTAGTGAAATCGAGTGATTTACTAATTATGCAAAGGCGTTGATCCCTGGTTCATCGGTCTATGGGCCGAAAAGACTTGCATCTGAACAGTTCATTTCCTCTTGCGAGTAGACGACTTAGAAGTAGTCTTGGAAGAGGATTGGGTAGCCACTTCCTCCTTCTTGTCACCTTCAACAGCATCAGTAGGCTCCTTCTTCTTGTCACCCTCAACAGCATCAGTAGGCTCCTCCTTCTTGTCACCCTCAACAGCAGGAGTAGGCTCCTCCTCCTCGTCACTGTCACCTCCCTGGCCGAATTCGTTGACGCGCTTGTAGTCAACCTTGTACTTCCAGCCTTGGTAGAGCCAGACGAAGAAAATAACGTCGTCGCGGAGAGTAGCCAGGCGATGGAGCCAGGGCATCTTGACGGTGAAGGCGAAGAGATCGTCGATGAAGGTGTTCAGGAACTTGTAGGTCAAGGCCTTGCCAGGCATGTGGGCAACAGACTTCAACCGGTAGTTGATGTAGAGACTGGGGACCATCATGAGGAAGCCGTAGGCGTAGACGCTGCCCACCAGTGTCTGGATAACGTAAGAGTACCAAGACTTGTGGGTGTTGTAGACTAGGCTGTACGCGGCGTATGCGAGCAGGAGGGGAACAGCCAAAATATACAAGTACTGGAACGCAATTTCATCGTACTCCTTAGTCTTCTCCTCGGTCTCGCTAAGCTTGTGTTTGTCCTCGAAGACAATCACATAGGGCAAGAACGACAACCAAGAGCTGGCTGGCGGTGGGCGCAAGCGAACGTCGACGGTCTTGGTAATCTTCCAGAATTCCAGAAGTATACCAAATCCTTGACTGCCCATGATCATCCAAGATGTGTTCTCACTGTTGTCCATGAGGTAGAGGAAGATGACAGCCTGCATGAAGACGTTTGCCAAGATTGTGCGAACTGAAGTGCCAACAATGTCCTTCTTCTTACGCCAGTGGGCCTAGAAAGTGACAATGTTAGCGACGCTACATACCACACGTTTTGATAGGGAGATATCACTTACAATATCGTTCTTGAAGGCCAAAGTCTCAAACAACATATGGAAGATAGTGACCACACCCGTGGTGCAGAGGAGCCAAATGTTCGTATCCAAGAGAACCTCCTTCACCATCTCCCACTCGGTTCCATCTCCACCACCGGGAGCAGGCTTGCCATAAGCAGCCTGGCGGGAACTTTGTTTCGAGCCTTCATCAACACTGCTGATGATGTTGAACTTCCAGTTCGCCATGTTGTTGAGAGTAATATGCAACGGCACGGTCTCGACGGTAGAGTTCAACTCGGTCATATGGGTCTTCAGTTGCCAGAAGGTGTTGAAGAAAGCGATAGGGTAGTACCATCCATTCTTTCCACTAGCATCGCGGGCACCAGTCCGCTCGAGCTGCACATACTGGCGAGCTGCGGGGTTCATCTGGGCCAACTTCTGAACTCCGGAGTCTGGGATCAGGGACAGGGTGAAGTTGGGGTGATAGTATGACATGGTTGAAATATCCGGGGTGTTATCTTCCTCCTGGTCATGATCATCCTCGGGGCCCGACAGAAGGTTCTTCAGCTTCTTGACCTTCTTCTTGGGGAGGTACTGGTTCAGAGGTCGGATGAAGTGAACTGCATCAGCGGTATTGTAGTTCTTAGCGGTGGGGTCTAGCGGGTATCCGGTACGAGCCAAAAAGAAGTGAGCCCAGAGAGTTCCATTCTGTTGGACCTGCTTTGGGACCTTGATGGTGGTGTCGATTTCGCGAGTGTCACTGTAGTTTCCAATTGTGAAGTTCTTCTCGTCCACCACAAGAATACTGTCCGGTGACTTGAAGTTGGGCACAATGATAGACGGGGTTACATAAATGCTGAGATCGACAGCGCTGTCGGAGGGCCAGATTGGGGCGATGGTCTCAGGAAGAGCACTGTGTTCGGCGACTTCGCTGGGATCGGGGCGATCGGCAAATGCAGGGATGCCATCAGAATTCAAGCTGGGAGAGTCTGTCTTGTCCTTATTTCCCATGTACTGGCTGATGGCAAATTGGACCAACAAGAAGATTCCAAGACCCTGAAGGGCCCCCTTGAAGCCCGACTAAAGGGAGTCAGTAAATTGAACACAACAACATTGAATCAGCGACACATACACCGGACGACTCCTCCTGTCTGCGTGGCCTCTGTTCCGACATGATGGATGAGGAAAAGAAAAGAAGAAGCCAAAAGGCCAGCTAACGTGGGCGATTAGCACGCGATTAGATCGAGGCCCGGGAACTTGCTCGGTCTTGGCATTTGTCTTCCGACCTTCGGGCATCTTCCATTCTTATACTTTGCTATTAAGCAGCTTTGAAATTGCAATCGCGTGATGGATAGCGCGTTCGACTGTTGGCGTTGACCCTCATGGAAAATAACCCCCCTTTGATGCCCGCGTGCAATTCCCGTCGCATAATGAGCCTCGAGTATGGCTGATCACCGCGGGGGATTCACCCATTGGCCTCTCAGTCGCGCGCCAGGTCCTCGCGCATGGAGACTATGCGTTTCTTGGATTAGCACATACAGCTTTGGAACGGGATGAACGTCGCCGGGATGAATTTGATGCTTTTCTCGATGAGGTGGGGCAACACGATGGCTGGGCACAGCGCATGAAGACAGTTCCGCTAGATATCCGGTGCGATCATTAAGGCAGACATCTCGATTATGAATTATGGTCTTAATTACTGACAGTCTTTTGGCACAGAATGATGGGAGAGTGCCAGGCAGTCGTGGCAGATGCAGTCATAACATTTGGAAGAGTAGACATACTTCTATGCTGTACAAGTCAAGGTGACCCTACATTCCTGAAGATACCCTCAAACAGTATACTGACCTACCCCAAGCCCTGATTGGAACAGTTGAGGAACTTTCTGCTTCAACTCAAACCATGAATCTTGTACGCGATCAATTCGAGGTTAACTATTTCGGTCCCCTCAATATCATCAAAGCTGCGCTCCCCCATATGAGGAAAGAGCGCGCTGGGCATGTGATGATAATATCAGGGATCAGTAAGAAATATATCCCGTCTATTGCTTGAATATTGGTCTAACGATATACAGCGGCGCATATCGGTACACCCGGACTAGGAATGTACTGCGCAGCGGGTTGGGCCCTTGAAGGATTCTGTGATGTCAGTATCTCTGGAGTGGTCCTTAGCGCAGAAACTAATCTATTTTACAGAGTCTGGCTTACGAAATTGCCCCGTTTAACATCAAACTCACCATCTTCCAATGCAGCATCGAAATTGGCATCCTCACCAACCTAGTAACCAGTGTCCCTCCAATCTTCCCCGCCTACTCACCCGCCAGCAACCAAGCGCCTCTCTTCCGTGGAATCTTAAACCACCTTGTCCCCCAACTTCCCGGTGCTTCTGTCTCATCTGACAGTCCAGTCACACCAAGTCCAGCCAACGATGAAAACGCCCGAGTTAGCTCCATTGAAAATGGCCCATTCTCCGCTCCAGAAGTTGTCTCCATGCACCCACCATTAAGCTCCGCACATCTTGAAGTGCTGGTCTCTGAAACAGTATATGCCATTACATCAATTGGTGGCCATGAAAACCCTCCTTCGCGGCATATTGTTGGACAAGAAGGTGTTGCGAGTGTCAAGGAGAAGCTCAAGACTGTGAGTGAAGAGTTAGAGGACTTTATACAGGCTAGTTTTGCTGTTGATGTTACCACGGACTCAGATCCTATGCCCGCTATATCTGGATTAAATGACGGGCCTTAGTGGATAATATTATATTTCTCTTTCGGTTAACCAATGAGCTCCGGGGGTTAATAGTTATTTTGCTGCCAGCTTATATTACTCTAAAATTAAGAGTCGACTCTGACCAATGCTGTTCAATGCTCACTAATCCTACCATACCGTCCCATAGTTTAGTCAAGCAAAGCGAGGAGGGGTTCTGCAAAAGTAGGAAGAGTTGCTAGGGGCTTGGCAGATAAATTTGAGTCGTCCAAGGCTAAATCACTCTTTCCTAAATAGGTGGTACTCCTAGTCAGGTATAGTTCATGAGGAGATATATATTAGCCACCCTCCATCATATATTTCAGATATATTTTCCAGGTACTCTGTACAGTTTCCTTAAATCTGTGATTCCGTGCTCTACTCCACACACTCCGTATATTGATTTCTCTTGGCCTCCATTTTTCATCTTCCTATTATGGATTGGTGAGTTCGCCTGTCACAAACCCAGACTTGCTGGCTATGGGCAGAGATACCCAAATCAGCCACCCCCATTTGGTTCCCCGGGTGACAGGCCGCTTGAGCCTCATGGAATACGAAGAAGTAGGCCAAATATAGGCTAGATTAACATACTCCGTATATGAATACGAGATCGGGTTGCAAGTAACGAGAGAGCGGGGTTGAATACGAGCTCCTCCGCACAAGCTTGAAGGAGGGATACGGAGTACTACTCAGATAACATTTTCAGAGACATTTTAGGCACGGAATACACTAGTATAAGACTGGGGTCGATTTCCTCGGATCCGGGTAGGATCAAATCTACCACCTTCTACGCTTTCATTAGGACGCGAAGTCCCACGTCGGTCTTTAGTTCCTAGTTTCTTTATCTCAAGCAAAACCCCCCCAATCCTCCCGCCATGCACGCTTGGCAGACTATCTTGGCCGTAGCCCTAGGCTGCCACCTTGCCAACGCCGCCGAGTGGAGGATACAAGCTGCCGCGATCGTCACCGGAGCTCTCATTCCTCGACAGGAGCAAACATGCCCCGAAGCAACAGAAACATTGTGCAGAGATGGGACTGGGGGATGTTGCCCTTCTGGCTCTGCTTGCACATTTATATTAGGCAAACCTAGGTGCGCAACTGGCTGTAATGGCGGTCCCAATTGTGCCGATGGAGGCTGCTGTAATATTGGATATAACTGCCCTACACTTGGCGGCAACTTTTGTCAACAAGCAACCAATTTCATTCCCGCGCCTATTCCAACTATGACGATCCCACCTTCCCTTACGTTTCCAACTGAGACTGCGGAAGCTCCCACTACTGAGAGTGCTTCGGAGCCTACGATTACTTCTATCTCTACAAGTATCTTGGAGCCTTCCAGCACATCGGAGTCAAGTAGCACGTCGGAGCCAAGCAGCACGTCGGAGCCTTCCAGCACGGAGCCGACCATTACAGCTGCCTCAAGCACCAATATTGTGACTTCGTCGTCTAGCCCAGGAGATACATCAAATACTGCGTCTGAATCATCTGAACCGTCTCAATCATCCGACTCCCCATCGGCGACGGAATCATCCACAGATAACGCGACTCTCGCGGCAGCAACACCAGAAACTGCCTCCGGTATTGCCGGCTCATTGTCGGCGAGCTGGGATTCATGGATGGCGTTGGCTATTATGGCGCCTTTCATTTTGTGAAGCATCATGTGTAATTATAATCTTTTTTGAGAGTCCTGTTTAGTTAGCAGAAATAATTCTTTAGGAAAGGGTGACACTTCTTCTTCTCTTGTTCAGCAAGGCTTACTCAATACTTGGATTATCTTTCAGGTGACTATGGACTTGCCAGCTCTCATATAGTCCCTTGCAAGATATTGCCTGCAAAGCATAGGTTGGTAGAAAGGACCACCGACAAGTCGAAACAAAACAAACACCTGGTTATATCACGTGATCCATATGTATCAAGTATGAAAATTACCAGTATCCATCCTATATTCCGACATCTTGAGGTTCATTTGTTCATTGTAAGCTAGCTAACTTGGTCATGTACCGAACATTCTTCATCCTAATCCTCGCAACCATGGGTGATATCAAGGGTAATAATGTAAGCGAGTCTGGTGTAGTTATCGATATTTCCATGTTAGAAGTGGAAGGTTAGAAGTGGAAGGTAGCTACCGAGGTTGTCCATGTTGAAGGAACCAAGCCTCTCGCACATCAAAGAGGCTTCCCATGTCCTGGTTGTTTCGGTAGCAGCGGAGTGACTTCCAGGCATTCCCTGTACGGCTGGTCGGCTTGCGGCCATCGATTTGTAGAATCTTCAAGACGAGTGCTCCTGGCGAGGGGATATTGGGAACGATGATCTCGTCCGGCTCACTATCAGTAGTTGGAGACGGAATTGGGATTGGATCTTTCTGTTGTTCGGTATTTGGGGGTTTATTAATTTCATCCCGCTCAGCCTCAACGGGTGCCTCAATGTGTGTAGATAACTGTGGTCCAAGGAGCTCTGGGGGCTCAGAGGTGGAAGAAAGTACCGAAAAGGGGGATTCTGCCCGCGAGGGCTTTTGGGGGGAGGATTCTGCTGCAGCTCTGTTATTTTCTGCGATTTTTGCAGTCAAGATTCCCATCACAGAAAAAGAATCCGTGGTATTCTGCTCATCGCGTTGGGACACTTCTATTTCCTGGGGAACCTCGACTTTTTGGGACTGCGGTTCGGATTGCTTTGGCTGGGTTTTACGTGGTCGTCCTCTCTTTTTCACTGGGGGTTGAGGTTCTGGCTCAGGAATCGTGCGCTTGGGTTTTCGATTTCGCGTACCACCAGGGCTGAAAATAACAACGCTGAATGGGGTATCTTGTTGGCTCTCTTCGTTATTTGAAGGTGAAATGACTGGCTGTGTGCCGGTAGCGGTATCGGTATCGGTATTTATCTCAGTGGAGGATGTAGGGACCTCATGTGGCGCTTTATCGGTGTCGACCTTTATCTCCTCGCCATCGGAAGTTGCGTGAGTGGCCTGCGATGGCTGTAGCTGTGTGTCGAGGTCGACTTTTATATCTTCCTTTCCCTTCTCTGGTATCGAAAATGACCCCGCCTTATCGAAATTGCTTCGAAGAAAGACTCGTTCACCGGGTGGAATCGCAAAAGTCAATCTTGGCCCAACACAGTCAAGGACCTGTAGTAGTTAGTAAATGGCAGAGCAGTATACGGAGTGGATAGATCTATACATACCATGACTTCCTTTTCGATGATAATTCTGCCAGGGCCCCTACCGAAAATATGGTAGAATTTCCAGATATCGCCCGGCTGTATAACACCTTCATCTATAAGAGTTCCCAACCTCACACTCGCACTTTCTCCAGCCATCGCATACCAGCTGACTTTTTGCTTCTGGCCCCAGAACTCTTCATATTCCCGCTCTTTGAAGTCGTCAAAGTCGCCGTTTTCGCGCTCCTGTTTGGCTTCCTGCGCCTCCCGCAGCCATTGGGGGTCGTAACGGCCGTGTTGGAGATCGAGCTGGAACTGTCGAATGCCGTCGCGCCAGTTGTTTGAATAGCGGAGAAAAGAGTCAGGAATGGGTTTGATCTTTGCGTTAGGGTCATCCGATATAGCTTCTGCCTCCGGATGAACATCTGGGGGAAGTAGAGAGAGGATTTCGCGCTTTTCACTTTCCTCAAGGCAATTCCATGCTTCAGGTCGCGCCAGAAGTTTCTAGAAATGTTTAGCCTATCGTTAGCTTAGATAATCTGGTATCGCATTTGTGAAGGATTGGCTCATACCACTAGATCCATATCAATAAGCAGGGACTTATCGCTCGTCAATAGCTGCTCCTCGCTCCATTTCCCTCTAGCAGCAGGCCTTCTTGGGGTCCTAGCTCGTGAGCCCGCTTCAGATGTTAGGGTCGACATGACGAGACCTAACTGTTCTGCTATATCGGCAGAACTAGCAGTAGCACTACTATGGCATTTTTATAAGACGTCAGTGGAAAGGAGAGTGATAAGCAAATGCTCACCGTGGTTCTGCCGCACGGGACCTTCCTACCGCCTTTGCGTCTCTCTTCCTCGGAGCCATTCTCACGGCAAAACAAAGGGGAAAGCGCTGTCCTTCAGAACAAAAGAGCAACGCTTTCAGGATGGTGAGGTCAACGCAGATTGCAAGGCTCGATGGTGAGGAACTCTCTGCGAGGTTGGGAGGATGCGTAGTGCTGATGTCAAAGTGAAACAGGCCTTATGCTGGCAGCCTCGGTCGACGACGAGCAGGTACGTGACAACGATTATTTAAGCTGATCAGGAGCTTACAATATCCGTAGGCTGAATCGGAGCTCTCTGAGATTAAGAGTCAGGCTAAAATGATATTTCGGCGATTGAATCGCAACTCCGCACCCCAAGCCAGTATTGAGTCTGGCCAATACAGTCTACAGTAAGTCGCAGCCATCAATCAACAAACATTGTCAATGGACAATCTCTCACATGCCTTTCAGCTACACAATCCAGGACGATATATGCTTTCTATGCATTTGCGACAAGTCCTACCCCCGCAAACTCGCATTTACCTATCTCGCTGATCTGGCCTCCGAATTCACGACTACCTATACCTCCTCACAGTACCTCTCACCAACCCTCCGTCCCTATGCCTTTGTCGAGTTTGATACCTTTATCCAGCGCACAAAGAAACTGTACCAAGACAGTCGCGCGTCTCAGAATCTTGACAAGCTGAACGATGAGCTCCGTGATGTCACCAAGGTGATGACAAAGAACATCGAGGACCTCTTGTATCGAGGCGATAGCTTGGAGCGGATGGGTGAACTGTCTGGGCGACTCCGCGAGGATAGCAAAAAGTACAGAAAGGCGGCTGTACGCATCAACTGGGAATTGTTGCTGAAGCAGGTGGGTCTATACTTTGCGTCAGATTTCCCCTGAACGATTTTGGCTAACCATCTCACAGTATGGACCTTTCGCTGGCGTCGGGCTTGTCATTTGCATCCTTCTTTTCTGGCGATTCTTCTGATTCCTTGCTCTCCGTGGCCATGCTCATAGGCCTCGCTGTATGAATGTACGCATAGTTAATACCTCGGTGATTGCGGGTTACAATCCGCCGATTCTAGAACACAGAAAATTGCTTGAACATGTATCGTATTTGATGATGTCTAAATCTCATCCTCTTCTTCGTCGAAATCGTCTTCCTCTCCCATATCGTAAAGAATCCGACCTCCTTCGCCTGGGCCATCGTTATGCTGTGCGTCGAAGTACGGCAACACAACACCTTCTCTTTCGCGCCTCTGTCGGTCGGTGAGACCCAGCTCAAAGGTCGACGTTAGTTCCTCATCACCCGCGCTTGGATCTCGCCCCATAGGAGGATTGTACAAAACATTATCGTCAAGCAACGTCACGATCTCTTTCAGATGCTGTGGCGAATACCGCGAGGCAGGCGGGAGAAGGTACCATTCCAGTACACCACGGCCACTCTTCCGCCTGTGCTCCAGTTCAATAACAATTCCCTCGGCTTTGCCAGTACCAGCCAATCTGTCCAATCGGCCGAGGAGAACGCCTTCTTGCTCTTCCTCAAGCCCGAAGACTGGAGGAGCCAGACTGCGGTCGCGAGCAGCCTTCTGTGCTAGAACGTGCGAGAACGAATGAAGTGTGATGATGCTCGTAGCGAGGTATGTCAACACAGAAATAGGAGATGGTGAGTAGGGACTTTGCTGTGGAAGTTCGGGGACATCTTGATGATATGTCACCACGAGTGACGCATCAACCTTGGCCGATGGCGACGTGGGAGCAATAAACGAGCCAAGGAAGGAGGGTAAATCAAATCCAGGGTCGACTCTTTTTGAGTTCAGAAGGGGGTTAATAGAGTCAATGATGATAAGACGCCCTACTCGGGCAGTAAGTATGCGTCCACTAGCGGGGTTAAATCCACAATGCTTACTGCGTGAGGGGTTGGAGGCTGCAACAGGCTGATAAACTGCGCTCACTTCTTTAACTATATCGGCAGGGCTCTTGCGGCGTGTTGATACAAAAGCATCGACTCCATCCGGTTGCTTCAGGGTTTCAAAAGCGACGAGTGTGACATGGACTTTGGATAGCTGTCGAACTAGTCAGCATGGCTGTCCACCCCGTGCCTAGTGAGCCAGGTGTCGCTAGTGGTAAAATTTTCAGCCAATATACCTTTGCACGTCTGATATATTCTTTCAGGAGTGGCGTAGCCGGTTGCTCCAAAGAATCTAAGACAAGCGTGAGGGGCGATGCAGTGTCACGCAAGCTCAAGAGTTTCGAAATCAAGAGTAAGTTGTGCGTTCGCCTGTGTGAAAGATTGATAGGGGCCATCTTTTCTTGATATTAAATACTCTTCTCGTCTAATTGCTTTCTGGAGACGTAGGTTGACGACCACATAGGAAGTGGGGTTGTGCTGCGAAAATTTCGTGGTGGGATTTAAAGTTGAGGCTCCACGAGCCGGCCCGCGGGCTAGCCATTTCTGTGGGGCAGACAGAAGGTGCTTCGAAAACAATGTGAACAAACGGAATAGACAGACAATGTTAGCTTATCGGTGATGAAGGGAGTTATCATGGAGAAAACAAGGTGGTGAATCACCTCAGACGGGTTACGCCGGTCTCTACTTCCTTATTTGTCAACTCGGACATCAATTGAGCGCACTTACCCATCCTGTCCTATCTTTCCTTGTGCCTTGTAAATGCAATTGACAATAGGAAACCGACCCTAGTAGCTTAGGAGATACCTGTTCTTCTATTCTTCCTCGGCCAGACAGCTTTGAACCTCAACAAGAGAAATTTCGTGCTGGGAATCAGGCTTTGGCAAAGCTACAAGTGGAGCTACAGTATATCGTTCAAAGTCACCTGGAGCCCCTTATGACTATGGAGAAAGCTAAAGAGTACCGATTGGAACTCATGGAAGAACGTGGGCTCAGAGCATGAATCGAGTAACTTCAATATGTGTAAGCATAAATGAGAAATCCGATAGTCAGACTGACTCAGGTTTATGGCGTGGCTTATTGGTCTAATATAGTTTCCGATTCTGTAATTTAATGTATAATGTGGGACTTGCGGTCTTTTTTCAGTGGTGACATTTAATACGATGTGAGATGGAAGAACGAAAGAAGCCAATTGTCATATTTTTGGTAGTTCCAATAACTATACTAACAACACCCTAACTATATATTACATATTTGGCATTACCCAGGGGACTGGATACATCGCTGGACTTTCAATCTTTATCCGCATGCGCCTCATGGACCTCTGTCGCCTCTCCTTCATATGGATCAACAACGGTAGTCGCGAATTTCCTCGCCGGAACTCCGCGCTCAAAGAGCAAATCCAACTCCTCATATGTGCGTCCTTTTGGCTCGGGGAGCCGGAAGAATGCCCAGACCAGGGAGGCTAGACACGTACCAGCCCAGAAATAGGCACACCGAGCACCCCAGTTCCAGGCTGTGGAGTTGAGCTGATAGTTGGTCAGGACATTGACGACAATGTTACTGATATTGTATAGACACCGGGCGAGGACGATCGTCTTTGCTTTGAGACGAGTGGAAGATAGTTCTGAGACAAGAGAGTATGTGACAGGGCCGACGCTGATGTCATAACAGAATGTGAAAATGATTAGCATCACGCCGATTGCCCATTTAGCTGCGTTGTTGTCTCCCGGTGCAAAAGAAAGAGATCCTGTGATGACCAGAAGGACGAAAAGACTGGCGAGACCGGAGATGTGGATAGTTCGTCGGCCCGCGTAGGACATTAGGAACCACGATCCAATTGTGCCCAAAATGCCGAGGCCGTATTGTCCCAGGGATAGATTGAAAGATTCAACGGTAGGCAGTCCTGCTTGGACACAGAAATAGGCGAAATAACCCATCAAATTCTGGCCACATAGGGTCTGCACTAACCAGACAAGACAAACTACCTCAGTCCGTCGAAGATTTGTTCCCTTGAAGCAATCCCAATATGTGGTCCCACTGGAAAGTGATTTCTCCAACTCATTGGTGTGTTGAATCATAGCAATCGTCTCTTCGGGGTCAAAGTTGGGGTCATTGGACGATGTCAACCGCTGTAACGCTCGTCGGGCTCCTTGCACATTACCCCGACGCACATGCCACCAAGGGGATTCAGGTGCGAAAAGACAGCCGATAATGATTGGGATTGGCCACACCCATTGCACACCGAAAGGAATGCGCCAGGCCCATTGATCATCGCGAGAAATAGAACCGCGGTTGACGCCAATAGCCACGAACTGCCCGAATACCCAACACATATTGATGAAAGTGGTCAGGTAAGGTCGCAGGACTACCGGACAAACCTCGGAGGCGTATGCGGCTGGCAAAGTCTGGAAGATACCCCAAGGGATACCCGCGAGAATCTCGGCGGCCAGCAACATCTGAATATTGACTGCGAAGAAAAACAGAAAAATGACTGCTGTGATGGTGGTCAAGGCACAGACCATGGTCTTTCGATATCCCAGGCGCTCAGAGACCAGACCATTGATCAGAAGCCCAATGACTTCACCACAGCGTGCCCCATTAGAAACGCCGGATTGCCAAGATGCCGGAACAGCCCATTTCCCCGAGGCAGTCTGTTCTCCGAACTTCTGGTTGAACGCGGGTGATGCGTACATTGAGCTCAACAATGCGAGATCGTACCCTTCCATGATCAGAGTGGACGAAAGGAGGACTGACCAGCCAACGGCTTTGGGGTATAGCCGCAGAGCCTGCCAGAGGGTCATAGACTGCTCCTTCCTAGATGCTAGTCTGCCTTCTGCAAGGACAGGGGAGACTTTGCCGTCCATGCTTGCGGATTCGTCGTCCATGGACACCATTGGAACTTGTGTTGCGATTTCGAAGATTCGAACAATAGTTTCTTGTCAAGGCCTAATCAGAATCGAAGGCTGATACTATCCCGATACTTCAGACATTATCAAGACTGATAAACCATGGGGCGATGCGTCATTTATACAAAAGATCTCAAGTCCAAAATACACGCATGACTTAGTCCACGCGCATCGCGTATCCGGGGAAAATGCATATGGACTGTCACTCGCTTCCAAAAATTCGAAAAACTGGGGAAGCTGGAGTGTGGAGGTCTAGATGTGACGAATCAGCGTGCCAGGACGGAGCCTGTCGGCGGCAAGTCGGTCGTTAGTCGGAGGCGCAGCATCCCTCCGGAGGCTTGGCGGTATGCAGGGTCTACCACGTTTGCCCAGGCCGAATTGATGCCGAGTTATGATGAAAAGGTATAAGAGGGGTGTCCTGGTGGAAAATAAAGGTGTCAAGCCACAATGTCACCACATGCGACACAGGATACGGTTGTTCCTACGGGGACAAATAACTGGTGGAAAGAAGCCACTGTCTATCAGGTTAGTTGCGAGAACATGAAGGTATTCCTCAAGACATAATATTGACTTTTGTGTCCTCGATTCGAAGGTATACCCGGCTTCCTTCTATGACAATAACGGGGATGGCTGGGGGGATATCCCAGGTGTTGTCAAAAAGGTCGATTACCTTCAGTCGCTAGGGGTTGATGTCGTTTGGCTATCGCCGATGTACGACTCACCCATGCACGATATGGGCTATGATATCTCCGACTATGAAAATGTTCTCCCTGCTTATGGAACCGTACAAGACGTGGAGAATCTTGTGGAAGCTTGTCACTCGCGAGGCATGAAATTGATTCTAGATCTTGTCGTCAACCATACCAGTGATCAGCATGCTTGGTTCCAGGAAAGTCGGAGCAGCAAGGACAATGAAAAACGCGATTGGTACTTTTGGCGCCCTCCTCGATATGATGAGGCAGGAAATCGGATGCCTCCGAGCAATTATCGAGGTTATTTTGCGGGAAGTACATGTGAGTTGAAATATTTGGCAATAATCAGTATATTTGAACTAACGATGCTTTCATGTAGGGACCTGGGACGAGAAAACGCAAGAATACTATCTGCATCTATACGCCAAAGAACAACCTGATCTCAACTGGGATAACAAGGCCACGCGTGAGGCTATCTACAACAGCGCAGTCCGGTTCTGGCTAGACAAAGGTGTCGACGGTTTCCGAGTGGACACAGTGAACAAGTACAGCAAGCATACAAACTTTCTAGATGCCCCCATCACGGACCCGAAAAGTTACATCCAACCCGCCATCGGAATGTGGTGCAACGGCCCCCGGATTCACGAGTTCCTGCGCGAAATGTATGAAGAGTCATTTGCTCCGTACGGGGATGTCATGACTGTGGGCGAACTAGCCAATACACCTGATCCCAAGAACGTCCTCGAATATGTGGGAGCATCGGCTAAAGAACTTAGTATGGTCTTCCACTTGGACATCGGCCATATTGGCATGGGACCCACCCTAGAGGAGAAGTACATCTTTACGCCGTGGAAGTTGACAAAGATGAAATCCATTGTGCAGAAGTGGCAGTCTTTTATTGAGGGAACGGATGGCTGGACCACCGCTTTCTGTGAAAATCATGACAACGGGCGCTCTGTCTCTCGGTTTGGATCGGATTCACCCGAGTTCCGGGAGATCTCTGCCAAAATGCTGGCTCTGATGATGATTACTATGACTGGCACTCTGTTCATATATCAGGGACAGGAGATTGGCATGATCAATGCACCACGCGAGTGGCCCATTGAGGAATACAAGGACATTGAAGGATTGGGGTATTACCGGGAAGCAGAGCAGCGCAGTGAGAGTGGAGCCGATCCTACTCGCAAAGAGCATATCATGGATGGTCTTCGAATCCTGGCTCGCGATCATTCCAGGCTGCCGATGCAGTGGGATGGCTCGGAACATGCTGGTTTCACTACCGGGAAACCGTGGATGCGAGCGCATGATCTCTATGGTGAGATCAATGTGAAGAGACAGGAGAGTGATGCATCGAGTGTCTTGTCTTTCTGGAAAGATGTTCTACGTCTGAGGAAAGAGCACCGGGAGTTGTTCATCCACGGTGCATTTGAAGTACTTGACTACGAGAATCAAGAGACGTTTTGCTTTGTCAAGTCGAGACAAGATAAACGGGCATTGGTCGTTCTGAACTTTACTAATAGATCTCAGCCATTCACACAGGCTGTGAAAACCGTGGGCATGAAGTTGCTAGTGGGCAACTACTCCGATTCATTGCTGGAAACCCTGAAGCCCTTCGAAGGACGTGTTTATATCTGAGATATATCCCGTAGAATACCAACCGGCAATATGTTTCTATAAATTTTGGTTGAAATCTTGCTTTCCTAGGATAATATTCTGCGTAGCACCTCTTACGCCTGGCCATAATATTCCCCGATGTCGCTAATTTCTCAGCATTCCACGGCTTGTAGCTCAGCGGGAAACCCCTGGGGGGATTTCCTAGGCCTTTAGAATTGACGTCTCCTTTTCTGAACACACAATGAGAATGTGATTAAAAAGGTAGTTTCCACTACTACTACGAATTAAGTCACAATGGATATATCGAGTCTGCCGAATGTTGAGGCCTGATAAACGAGGCCACAATTCCCATTTCCTTCCGGCTTCTTCCCCGACTTCCCCCCGACTTCCCCCCGCAACCCCGGATTTTTGCGTTCTGCTAGTTCCTCTCGGTATATTTGTACCTGAATTTCCAGATGCCAGACCCACAGGCCAAGCAAGCATGTGATGCATGTCGCCGACGTAAAGTCAAATGTATTTTCCCAAAACCTTGTGAGCAGTGTCGAGCTGCTGGCCTGGTCTGCCGAACCTCCTCGCAACGACAGAAGAAGGGGAGACAGGGCCAAACAGCCAATATTCTCAATGAACTCAGAGCAAACCAAATTGAACAGGCGCTGGCACAGAATGCGAATCTTTCTCCGCCATCAATGACTCTTGGGCTCGGGGATACTATACCAACTCCCCAGTCACTACAAACCTCGGGAAGATGTCAGTTCGCGAAAACCCCGGGCCTTGTGAGCGGGGAGCTTGTCAACGCCTGCTCGGGATATTTTTTCTCGCGAATGAGAGGAACAGTGCCCGTTTTGCAACCCGGCAGCTTTCAGAAACAGGTGGACCTTGCCGATACATGCCTCCATGCTTATTGTCTAGTCACTGCTTTCTGCGCTTTTGTGGTCACTCAAACCGGATTTGCCGTGGAGCATTCATCTTTGGAATACTCTCGGGTTTTTTGTACCGAAGACTACCGAAATTCCCTGATTGAGGAAGCCACTGAAGCTCGAAAGCATATCGATCCATTCACGGATCCTATACGGCAAAGCATTATCATCGCTTTCCTTCTGTATGGATGTCATATTGGACTTGGAAACCAACGGCATGCATATTATTTTCTCCGCGAATCGACGACACTTTATACAGCTAGCGCACTGGAAAGTCAAGCATCATCGGCGCAGGTGGATGACGATGACCCTTCCTTGGCAGGCAAATTGTTTTGGCTCCTAGTGGTGTCCGAGAGGTATTTTCTTCGCCTATTCATTAGTGATTCGCTAACACGGTGACAGAGCTCACGCTATTCGTCGACATAGACCTATTACGCTACAGGTCACTCCCGAAAGCCCTCAATTAGAAGACGATCCACTCCCAACTCAATTGGAAGACAATGTACTAGAAAATGCATCAGCCATTGGCTTTCGGTGTCTGGTAAACCTCTACCGCCCATTTGATGAAAGTTTTCTGAGTCAGTGGAATGGAACGAATGCCACATGCTCGATTGAGTCGCTGGTTCGCCTTGAGGAGCTTATCCAAAGTGCAGTCCCGGCAGACCTTGATCTGCCTGATATACTCATGGCAGACTTGCGTGTGTCTCAGCAGTGGCTGCGTATCATGATATGGCAACTATCTACAACTGCTGGGTTTCTTTCGACAAAGCCTAGTCATGAATGCATGGATTTTCGCTACCCCCTCCTAATTGCTGAAGATCTCTGCTTTGCGACATGGAAATTATCCAGGCAGAGTATGGAAACTCACGGAATTGGTCTTGTATGGCTTACCTACAAACATACCAAGCATATTCTAACATACTGTAGATTGAAAAAATATTTGAGGTGGCGTGCACCTTGATTGATGTCATGGCATGCCTCTCAACGGCTAGACTACGTTCTTCGGGCTTCAAGCTTGGCCCGCAGGATTATCTCAAGCATTTCTTTACTCTCATACACGACCTTCCCGGGGGCCGTCGAAGGCTTCTTCCGCTGCTACTTACCAAAATAGGGCAAACTCTGCCATCCATGGTAGATCCTATCACCGTTCATCTCAAACTCCAACCCAGCCCCTTGGTTTCAAGCTCTACCAATGAGGAATCATCAATATCCGCCATTGCGAGAAGTGGCAACTCAATTGAACAGCCCTCCACTGAATTGGTTTCAGAGTCTGCGAATTGGATGAATGGTAACTTCAACTATGCGGAGATGAGCCGCATCGGTGAGAAAACACCAGAAATTGATGAGGCATTTCTCCAATACTCCAGTTACTTTCCCTGAGACCGGATAATAGGCTGCGCCTCTCAATTTATGCTTGGTCAATAAAGCTACATATGGGGGAAAGTATTGAGACGACAGGACTTTTCTACCATTCGAGTTGTCTACAAGAGCTGGACCTAATAAATACAGCAGATTTATTTGATTGTTCCTGACAGGCCTCAAAGTGCTTTCCTACGTGACAATTATCTCTTTTTGGTCAAAATAGTAGTCCAGTGGGATCAAGCATGAAGTGCCAGGTGTTCTCATCAAACCAACTCCAAAACTGGCATGAATTGATAGTCAGAATCACCTTTTTCCACATCTGCTTCAATGACTTCATCCCCTTTGATGTCTCATTTTTTCAAATTGGCATCTGCATTTGCAATCTGCTTGCTTATATGCTATATCATCGTTAGGTGCAACTATGATACATAGCTCACCTGACAAACGAGGCAAAGACAAGGCTAGTGCCCTGAGATCCAGTGCTCGGGCATGTTTTGAAAGTATGTCAGTGGACAGCCTACGGTTTACAACATCGCCTGTCTCAAAGACCAGCGATTCAAACAATCCATGATCTACCGATCTAACACATTTTTTGGGCCTACTTGGTATCAATATAGCAGAAATCGATCTCTGTATCTAACGTGGTGCATATTTTTCTTTTCGCTGTGCCACCTCGATCACTTTATATCTGGAACTATGAGGCTTTGCATTGCTACCTTCAGTTTGATTCAATCTGACACAATGGAATATGTCGAATTATTTCAAGTTGTTCTTTAACTAGTTACTGTATTCTTAACACTTTCTATACCTATACGTGCTCTATCCCTATAGAGCAATTTAAATTAACAAGAATATTAGTTTTGTAGTACTCTTTTTGGACGTCTTTTTGGATGTTTTTTTTAGATGCTTTTATCAATTATACGAAGAATTTAGGTAAAAACTGTAGACTAATAGGGTGAAATAGGTAGTGAGATACCATATAAACCTACGATATATCGCTGATCTCTATATGTATAGCAAGATACTTAGATAGTGCCATAGTGCAGTCGTAAGTCATATACTCCTTCTCGTACATATAGGGTTTCATTGGGTTCATTGAGAGACATCACATTTGATTATTCAAGCGACGCATCAGGCTATTACTGACACTGATCAAAGCAGTTTTAAAATTGAATCCAAACCGTACAATTTGTTTGTCACGGCTATAGATCGGTCAATCTGCCATGTCACAAAATGCACGACTGGTCTCTTCCCGGAGCCGGAATAAACTTCTCTCTGGTCCTGAGAGATTCAGGCCGACATCCATTGCGACAACTTGATACCCTCTACATTTCTATCCCTACAAGCATTCGCTTTAGGACTCCTTAAACCTGTTATCATTACTCAAGCTCTTGAAATTTGAGTAAAGCCATCCTCATCTGGCCCCAGCTGCCACAAACACCCAAGGTGTACGGGGCAACGCCCAGACCAGATCAGACCTTTTTAACAATGGCGGAGCCACCTGCAAAACGTGCTCGCCGAGTCGACAGCTCAACCATGTGGGATTCGAATGATAAACGGCCTCATGCACCAGAGCAAGAGTCAGATCGCGACCGCAAACGCTCACCAGCTCCACGAGATGACCGACGCGACGGCCGGTATCGCTCTCGCTCACAAGAACGCAAGGATGGAAGGCGAGATAGGAGCTGGTCTCGAGATCGCCGCGAGCGGGACAGAGATGGGCGTGGGGCCCAGAACCGAAAGAGGAGCACTAGCCGGGAGCGCAACCAGGATAGACGCGGTTGGTGAAAGATTTGAATTATTGAAGTACTCGTGCCATGCTAACATATTAATATCAGGCAATGCACCCAAGAACGTCAAGTTCCGCGAACGTTCGCGCTCCCGCTCGCCGCATCGCAATGGCACAAAGGCCCGGTCACCCCCTCGAGGCCCTAAGAGTGACCGCCATGGCGACCGCAAAGACCCTCGATCGCGAGATGTTGGGCAGAAGGCGAATGGCGCACAACCAGGACCAGATCGCCACGAGGATGCGATGGACGTGGACTTCAACGAAGATGCGGACGAAGACGAAATGGAAGCACAAATGCGAAAGACCATGGGTTTCAGCCGGTTCCGGACTACAAAGAACACCAAAATCCCCGGTAACGACATCTATGGTGTGCGGAAGGAGAAGAAGATCGAGTACCGACAGTACATGAACCGCCAGGGTGGTTTCAACCGGCCTCTCAGTCCCTCGCGATGAACCTTTAAATCCTTCCTATTCCTACGGTCTCATACTTCTTTGTATTCACTGGACATTTTCTGCCTTCTTTCGACACGATATGCATTTGCGGAGTACTTTTTATGCTGGCTTGATATTTTTCCTTCCCATTCTATGGCCCAAACCTTTGTGGATCTACTACCAATTTCATTACTTCAAATATTAGTGAACCAAAAAAATTCAATGATTCATAGCCAAATCTGTAGATAAAAACCGGTCACGACTTGATTGCGGATGCGACATATGACTGGACAGACTAGATCCCCAGTGACGTAGGCATTCTCTATATAATGAGCACACCTGCTGTTCAAACTTGTCAACTACAACTAACTCCCTACACAGTGGCTTCTTTGCGATCATTAGCACCCAAGGTAACGCCAAAATTCAAGATGTCGGCAACAGGAGATCGGCGTGAGATTGTTATTGTTGGTAAGAACAGATTGTTTGCGCGACTTTCCTACCCCGCATGTATATTCGCAAATTGCTAACCACAATCCTCACAGGTGGTGGCATCATTGGATGCTGCTCTGCATATTACCTCACAAGACACCCGTCATACGACCCTACCCGTCACAAGATTACACTCATTGAGGCCTGTGAAATCGCCGGCGCTGCATCAGGAAAAGCGGGTGGCATGCTGGCGCAATGGGCTTTCCCAAGCAACATCGTTGGTCTCAGCTACAAACTGCATGCCGAACTTGCAAAAGAGCACGATGGTATCAATCGATGGGGATACAGAGAGGTCAATTGTGGCCAACTCGTCGTGAGAGGTCGTGCTCTTGCCGAGCACACTGCAGGGAAATCCGGGGGTGGAGATAGGGAATCTCTGCTGAAACGCAGTGCAGCGGCTATGTCGAAGCTGAAGTCTGCCAAAATCCCCCAGGACTTGGATTGGATTGAGCCGGATCTTCTGCGGTCCTATGAAAATATGAGTGGACCGGGCGAAACTGCTCAAGTGCACCCATACTTCTTCACTACCTCTATTGCAAAGCTCGCCCAGGACGAGGGCGCAAGTATCATTCTTGGACAGGTTACAGATATTGATCGGTCTAAGGGTTCTGTGCAGTCAGTGACATACACTGATAAAACATCAGGTGAAACAAAAACCATCACCGCAACCGATGTGCTCGTTGCTGCTGGTCCCTGGACGAAGACTATCCTCCCAGAGGTCCCCATCTCAGGCATGCGGGCCCACAGCGTGGTGATCCAGCCAAAGAAACCAGTCAGCGCATACTGCCTGTTTACAAACATCGAAATCCCGGCCGACTTCAACCCCGAAAAGAAGTCACGCCCAACTGTGGCTGCGCCAGAGATCTACGCGCGCCCTGATGACACCGTCTATGCATGTGGCGACGGAGATAGAACGGTCCCATTACCAAAGACTTCTGCAGATGTCCAGGTTGACCAGACGCGCTGCCAGGAAATCATAGATCATGTGGGTAGCATTTCTGACGAGCTGCGCGACGGAGAGGTTCGCGCTCGCCAGGCTTGCTATCTTCCTAACTGTGAAACTGGCGGTGGGCCACTAATTGGCCTGACCGATGTAAAGGGACTGTATGTTGCAGCTGGCCATACCTGCTGGGGTATCCAGAATGCGCCGGGTACAGGGAAGCTCATGAGTGAGTTTGTATTTGATGGCAAGGCGAAGAGCGCAAACATTGGATCGTTGGATCCACGAAACTTCATCTGAACAGATACTTGTCACACAATGTCTATCGCAAAAATATAGTACACCCTTCCTATGATATTAGCACGACATTTATAGTTTGTAGACAACGTGAGCACTAGAGCCGACGAGGAAAGGCGGGTGACGCGGTACGCATATGAGACTAGTCTGTATTTAGTAGGCGGTAAGTGGAGATACATACACCTATAGCTTAACGCCGCGCGAGGACAGAAGTCAATTGAATGAGGCTACATAATGCGTAACCTCGGGATTTCAGTGTTATTGACGTCGCTCCTCTATGCGACTGGGATTGTTGCAAATGAAGATCCCAATGACGTGTCCGTCCTAATTCGAGAGGCCGGACGTGCCAGCAACGAGTCCTTGCTTTGGGGCCCCTACAAGTCGAATCTCTACTTTGGGGTGCGTCCTCGCATTCCGAAGAGTCTTTCGGCGGGGTTGATCTGGGGAAAGGTTGACGATTATGCTGGTGCTCAACAAAGTATGTGATCCTTGGCAGCCCGGTTGCATTGGTGAACTAAAGCTAACATCTACCGAAGACTTTAGACACACATGCGAACAAAATGAAGGAATGGCTGGGTATGGCTGGGATGAGTACGATATCCGAAAGGGTGGACGGGAAACCATTCATGACGCTGGGAACAATTTGGACTTGGTCATCGATTTCATCAAAGTACCCGGTGGCCAGCACGGAGGTAGCTGGGGATTCCGAGTCAAGGGCACGCCTAGAGAGGGCGCAGACCCCGACCAGCCCATCTCCGTTATCTTTTATTCCACTCTCGAGGGATTCGGTCGCTTGGGGGCCGATTCTGCATCCTCTGAATCCACTGGAGTGGAAGGCAATGTCAAGCTCGAAGGATACTCCGCAGAACTTGGTGATTTCGCTATCGATGTCACCACTGGACCGGAAACCAACTCGCACCCTCGCTACAATCATCCTAGCTCCACAGACAAGCCATTGGATCGCAGCATTGTAGCTAGTGTGGCTTTCCCTGAGGAGCAACTTTGGCAAGCGAAGGGGATCTTCTTCACTCAATTGAAGGCAGAGGTTGACGAAGCCCTTGAAGAGTATGGAAAAGAGAACATTCCGCCCCCGGCCCAGCTGTTTACTATCAAGCACAAACCTGGCCCGGGAAACGCTCAGCTTGTCCAGAAGGTTTTCAGCGGTCCATTCGAGTTCGATGTCCTATTCTCCTCCGGATCCGCTTCCGAACCTTTGACTTCAGAAACCCTTACTAAAGAAATTGATGAAGCTTCGGCTTCATTTTCTGAAACCTTTGAGGAGCTTCTTCCGCCGCAGGCGCCATTTGACTCACCGAAATACTCGAGCTTCTCCAAGGCAATGTTATCTAACCTCATCGGTGGCATTGGGTTCTTCCACGGCGATGATGTCGTGGATCGGTCCGCAAACCCTGCGTATGAAGAGGAGAATGAAGGCTTCTGGGAAGAGACCGCCGAGGCCAGGGCTGCCGCGCAGCCTGTTATCGAAGGTCCTAAGGAGCTTTTCACTTGCGTTCCCTCCCGGCCTTTCTTCCCTAGAGGATTCCTTTGGGACGAAGGTTTCCATTTGATGCCCGTGATCGAATACGATACCGATCTTGCGTACGTTTACACCCACTTTCATTTGACTCACTAGTTTTGCCTGATACTGACTTTTACAGGCTTGAGATTATCAAGAGCTGGTTCCACTTGATGGACGAGGATGGGTGGATTGCCCGCGAACAAATTCTCGGCCAAGAGGCACGCAGCAAGGTACCTGCGGAGTTTACGGTCCAATATCCTCATTACGCAAACCCGCCTACTCTGTTTATGGCCTTGGAAGCATTCATGGACAAAGTCAAGACCAGTAACAACAAGAGCACCGAGTTCGCATCCCTAGACAACCAAGATGCGACCGCCAGCCTGCGTTCCGCCACTGTCCGACACCCGGAACTGTCTGAAGCATACCTTCGCTCATTCTACCCGCTCCTGAAGAAGCACTACAACTGGTACAGGAATACTCAGCGCGGTGATATCAAATCGTATGACCGTGAAGCGTTCTCAACTAAGGAAGGTTACCGCTGGCGCGGACGTTCCGTGCAGCACATCCTCACTTCTGGCATCGATGACTACCCCAGAGCCCAGCCACCGCACCCCGGTGAGCTGCATGTCGATTTGATCAGTTGGATGGGAATGATGACTCGCGCTATGCGTCGCATTGCTGAGAACGTTGGCGAGGAGGAAGACGCCGAGAAGTTCGCCTCCTACGAGAACGCTATCACTCGTAACATCGATGACTTGCACTGGGATGAGAAGGAGCAAACCTTCTGCGATGCGACTATCGATGAATATGAAGAGAGTGTGCACGTCTGCCACAAGGGTTACATCTCCATCTTCCCCTTCCTGACTGGTATGTTGGGTCCTGACAGCCCGCGTCTCAAGGCTGTGTTGGACTTGATCAGTGATCCCGAGGAGCTGTGGAGTGATTACGGTATCCGCAGCTTAAGCAAGAAGGATAAGTTCTACGAAACCGATGAAAACTATTGGAGAAGTCCTGTCTGGATTAACATCAACTACTTGGTGTTGAAGAATCTCTATGTAAGTGCTTCGATCTTTTGATTTATTTGCCCGCCGAATCTGACAGAACCTTCACAGGACACTGCGACAGTTTCTGGTCCTCACCAGGAACAGGCGAGAGAGATGTACTCTGACTTGCGGAAGAATTTGGTCGAAAATGTCTTCCGCGAGTGGAAGAGGACTGGATTCGCTTGGGAACAGTACAACCCTGACTCGGGCAATGGCCAGCGAACACAGCACTTTACCGGCTGGACCAGTATGGTGGTGAACATGATGTCCATGCCTGATTTGGCCGGATTCGGAAAGACTACTCATGACGAGTTGTAAGCTATTGAACTTCGATGTGAAAATGTTCGTCACGTAGATTAGATAGTGGTCATTCTGATAGTGGTACGCAATGGTTTATCCGGCATTTGAATCGATCCCTCCAACGCCAAGCTAATGCATCAATTCATATCCCTGGTCTGTAGCTCAATGGCGGCGATCATAGTCGTCTCGGTCTCGTCTGCGTTCGGGGTGTCGCCGACGCTCAGCCGGCGAGTAGCTGCGCTCCATCCGTCGTCGTTTCTGATGTTCTTCGTCTTTGCGGCTGGGTCGACTCCTAGAACGGGAGACTGAGCGCCGTCTGTGGTGATCTCGGCCGCGAGATCGTGAGCGGGATCTGTGGCGATGGCTGCGGTGAGGGCGCTCTCGGTCGTCGTGATGACGGCGGTGTCTCCGGTCCTTCTCACGTGCAACATCGTCGGCCCGGTCATGTCGCCTTTCACGTCGCGGGCTTCGGGATCGCTCACGTCTGTGTCGGTGACTCGAGCGATGGTCCTTTTCCGTTGTTCCGACATCTGGCATCTCTTCTTCTCTTGGCACTACATCGGTACTACTAGCGCCCCCTAAGGGAACCATGTTGGCGTTTTCGGATGCTTTGGGGGGCACCGGGAGGCCCAGAGCGATCGCCATTGCTTCCTCTTCTGCTTCCTTGACACGTTGAAGTTCCTCTCGCTCTTTGCGGATTCGTTCTTCCTCATATTCGTCACCCTTGGCGTACCAGCCAAGATCACGGTTTTGTTGCCATCTGCCGACTGGAGCCATCACCGAGTGGCCTAAGTAGTTCTCGCGGTGGACGGAACTTTGGACGTCGGACCATTTGAACTCATTGCGGCCGCCGCTGAGACAAAAAATTAGCAACCTTCAACCTATACAAAAGGATGATACCAGCGAATGAACTTACCGGCTGCCTTCTTTGCGTACACCAGCAACCAAATCCATCATGCGATAGAACCGTGTTATACGGAGGAGAAAGCCTAAGCCCTGCGAAGCTCTAGGTATGTACGCACTCAATGGTGGTCCGTGCGTGGGCGGTCAGCCATTCCATCATCGAATGATTGCACCTCCCCGCAGCCATGGAGGTGTTTGCGACCAGCTTAATCATGATCTGTTTACAAAGTTCCCACCCTTCTGTCTCTTGTGGCTTGTTCTCTCCACAATTGGCAATGACAGAGCAAGCTGCTTATCTTACTATTCACGACTCTTGCTGCTCAGATCCAAGGAAGTATTCTTCTCTGCAAGCATCCTTCGCCTACAGCAATGTCTTTTCCTCCCACTAGCTCTACGCGTGCTAAAACGGAAAGGGAATTCGTACGATATCGGCCCCAGGTACAAGCATTGAATATCGAAGCAGAAGAGGAACGCGTATGTTTGTCTTCAAATTACCCCACGCGAGAACTATGAACTGACTTGTGCTAGTTTCCTGAGTGGGTATTTACGTTTGTACTGCCTAAATCACCGTGACTGATTATCATTGAGCTATAGTGATGTGCCTAGACCAACTGTCTCTGCTTGGAGGTGTAATTTGGTGAGTACCTACTAATTTAGTTGCTGTTTCGTATAATCTTCCCCCAGTTCTGACCTTGATTTTGAAAGGCGGCCTTCTCGCAGCGTCGAAATCTGCTTTTTACAGCTCAAGTTGAAGACATTTACGTATGGATTCCCAGTGGACCTCGCCAGCTCCTTGGCTCCCAACCTGAGATGATCATTCACCCGGTGATGAGGGAACCCGATTCGCCTGGATACATCGATCGCTCTAGGCCTCATACAATCAATCATATCATTGTTGATGATTTGGGGGTTGATGAGGTTTTGCTTTTAGCGACAGATTCTGGAAACGTCACCGGCTACAATGTTGAGGCTATTTTCTCAGCAATCAATAGGAGCGCCAAATATGGAGGCGGCCGACCATTTAATGCGCATGAAATAAAGCCTTTCTTCGCTGAACATGTTTATTTGAGTGCTTGGGGCTTAGCCACCCACAAGTTTTCTCGGTTGATCGCCGTCAGCGCGAACACGGGTGACATCACAGTCTTTGCTTTTGCGTTGATGGATGTGATGTCTGAAAGTGATGATAGCAGTCCCGATTCTTCTGAGACCTCAAATGTGGGAGGCTCTGGAAACACATGGGTATCAATACACAATGCAGAGTTGATGCAGGGTCTGAAAAGGTCCATGCCCCGTCATCGAACACGCAACCTGCGGCTCACCTATAGAGGTCATTTTGACAACATTCCGTGCGTGTCGTTTGCCAACTTTGAATTAGACCCCAACGGTCTGTGGATGATAAGTACCGATATCCTCAACAACGTCTCCATATGGAGAGTCTGGGACAGCTTAAGTCCTGTCGATATCTCCAGTTACGATTGTTTAGAGAGTGGTCGAGAGCAAAAGGGGTGGTTCGTTTTGCCTTTACATCCTCGCAGGGTTCAACAGCACCTCCTCAAGTTTCATGCCTGTGGATGCGACCCAAAGCGAACCATGATGGATGATCAGGTGGTTTTCGACGTGACAGAGGCGGCTGATTATGTCGAAGCCAGATCCGTCCTCACTTCTCAGAAAATCGCTGCTGAGGAACATGCAACGGTTTCGAGCATATTTCTAGAAGACGATATTTTCCCTTCTGGCTGTGTTCATACTAAATTCCGACCGCAACCATTGAGCTCGGAGCATAACAATACCACTCTACAAGCCTCCGAAATTGCATCTCCTCCCGATGCTGTTGACACCACTGATGTCAGCTCTGAAGTATCACAAGACCAGCAGGTGGCTTCGCGCCGTCATTCGATTCGCGTGAGACGTGGTATTAACAATTTGGTTGAAGAAGAAAATGAGCAATGGGGCCCGGATTTTGCTGCTGAAGTACCTGCTGCTGAAGTGGATGTTTTGACAGGCTCTGTACACCATCGTAAGTGAGCGACGTGCTTCGGTGTTAGATTAGAATGCTAACCTGTTACTCAGCGACCAACCCTCGGTTTTTCCCTATTCTCCATTTTTCTGGAAATACCATCACTCTGAATCCTTATCCATTAGACCATGTATTGCGGACGATCTCTCGGTCTCCACTTGCTTCGCTGGTAGAGCATTCTCCGTTCTATTCCTGTGATCGCTTAAACTTGGTCAAGTACCTCCCTGAACTTGGGATCGTTATTGCCGCCTCCCAGGCCGGTGGAGTTGCCATCATCACTCTTACATGGCAGGAAGAAATTGGCCACACTTTTCGCCTAGACTGGCTTCTCCCTTTCATCACCCAGGAGAGGGACGATGGATGTCCACCACTACCTCTTATGGGTATTGCTGCAAGTCCCATGCCTGGATTTGAGATACCACCGGATGTCCCTTGTATTCCCCAGGATGTCAACCCCAAGGATCAGTTGAGATTCAACCATCGTCTGCTCAACCCAGATGAAGATGAACCTTATGTCGCAAACCCGCCCGAATCCTGGGCTTTCAGTCCCTCTGGCCCGGATATTATCCCTGGCTCCGAAGACCCGAACCTTACAATTCCTGAAACCCACGCCTATGCCTCGGAAATCTACCAACCTCATGAGACCTGGCATGGTTACCATCCTTCTCGACATTACAGGTTGCTTTTGCTATTCTCTGATCTCACAGTCATGAGCTATGAGTTTTGGCACGACTGGAGAGGTTGATCTGATGATAAAATTAGGTTACGCTTCGTGAAACCTGATTGCAAGAGGCATGTTCTACCCGTCCGAGTATCTAATTCAGTATTCCACCTCAAATTCAATACTGGTAGTCGAGAAATAGTATGAAAAAATATGTCATCGTTCAATATGTAATCAATTCGTACAGCGGTCACTTGAGGCTCTAACCGAGATAAGCCTAATTGGTTCCGCTCAAAATAAGCTTAAATCCTATGTTTAGTCACCTAAAACAAAGTTTTCTTTTCCAAGACCACGGGTCCCACTTCGATATCAACTTTGGAACCTTGGAAGATAATATCCCCATATACTGTGTAGCCAAAGCGCAGCCGTCGATCCCGACCATCTACATATCTGCTCAGAGGGGTCTTAGCGAATGTCGAGATCTCTCTTTACGCTAGAATGTCTTCATAGTTTATAATAGGCGTTCATAAAGACCCCGTAATCATTATTTACAGTATTATCTTTATGGGATAATTAGTCATTAGGTCAGAAGCTGTTATACTAGATTAAAAAGAATCCCGACATTCGCTGATATCTGACGTTCGCTGAGCTCTCGGAACTCGGATTAATACATGTTCCTCCGTGCCAAGAGGCGCTAAAAAATGGGGTCCCAATTTCAACATTCGATCAGCTGTCGCCTGAAAGCGGTCAGGTTTAAGGCCAACATCAGGCCAAATCCAGGCACTAAGGTACCATTGTATGCATTAGTTAGTTAAATCCGAAAGTAACCCTGGCCCCTATGCCCTTGCGTACAATGTAGTCAAGCGCTTCCAACCTTGGAAGGGTCTCAGCCCAGTTGACTCAGACAAGCAATCAACAAAAACCTCGAGCCCCCACCAGCGCAGCTCATTATACAACTGGAATTCAAGTTTCAATTTTACAAAAGCATCACATACTATAGAGATGCACGACCAACACCCAGCCCAGACTAGGGCTCTCGCGATGCCCGAGATCGTGATCTCAATCCTCCACCAAATGGACATGCGCACCCTAATCGCCGCCCAGCGTGTCTGTCACACCTGGGCAGATCCAATCCGCAGATCACGCTCACTGCAAAAAGCCCTATTCTTCATCCCAGCCAGCGAAAACAGCGGGACAGATCCACGAGTCTACAACCCCATGCTGGCACAAGCATTCAAATCAGCGTTCCCTTCAAAAGACCTACAATGTAGCAGCAATGCAGGCGCCAGAATAGAGGACATCAAACTCGATGAATTCGATCTCGCGAAAAGCCCGGCTAAGATGGAGATATATCTCCGGCCTGAAGCGAGCTGGCGCCGTATGCTGACGCAACAACCGCCAGTCTTCACGGTCGGACGGTTTCGCAAGGGGATTGGGCGAATGGGTCTTTCTTGGTACCAACAAAAGGCAGCGCGGCAAGATGAGGGTCTTCGTATGGGCACGTTGTTTGAATTGCTTGTTCAATTGAAGTGTTATGAGTGGCATTCCGGGTTTATTGCGATTTGTCTGGGTGGAGCTGAGCCTGTTAACACGCCGCTTAATATTGAGGGACCGGCTCAACGTCTCTTCACGAATGAAATTAATAATGATTGGAGGGTTATGGCTGCGAACTTTGATCTCGTGCTTATGACGAGTTCTATGAGCACATGTATGGATCCTGACTCGGATGGTTCCGATTACACGAAGAGTATAGGTGAGGCTGTCTGGGAGAAGATTTGTGAAACCTATTGCAAGTTGGGTTTGACTGTCACGGAGTTGAAGATGGAGGATTATAATGAAGGATCCGCGTTGTGGTATGCATGGGTTTATTAACATAGGAATTGCATACCCATGCCCGCTACAGAAAGACAGAGTCAAGCGATCGACAACCATAGAATTATGGAGATATCATATAAACGCAGAATATCAAATAGACGAAGCGCAAGCAACGCACGTTGTATGTATGGGGGAGTATGTAAGGGCATTTCCTGCGCTTGGCCAGAGAAGAAAGACCTAGTATATGAAAACGAAGCAGAGAAAAAGAAAATCCAAAAAAAAAAAAAGCAAAGAGGGAAACGAAACGGGGTGTGACAGAAGACGTAGGGGGAATTGATGAAAAATGCAATAAAAATGAAGGGGAAAATGCGAAGAAAAAAATGAAAGGGAACATCAAGTCGTTGTATGCATCAATGTCATTAAGACGCTTTTTGAATAGGGAAAGACCAAGATTCTTATGTGCCATTGAATGTTTAGTCGTGCACATAGATCCTCGATCTAGAAGTCATCGTCCATCTCATCACTATCCCATTCATCTTCACGGTCGTTTTGTACTAGATC